CTGAACTTTCTACTTCTTACATTTTCCAAACAGGCTGGTTCCTTTAGTCTGAATGTGTGTTTGGTGGCGTGATCATTATTATTTAGAGTCATTGCGTGCCTATTGATTTGAACACGATCCGTGTATCCATCATTTCCTGGTCTTCTCTAAAGAAGAGGGACCAATGAAAACGTTGTCATGTTGCCGTTGTTCAGCATGGAAACATTCATTAGCTAACAATGACATTATTGTTCTATTAATATAAAGGGAGGTCAGGTACTCTTTAAAACAGCTGCTAGTTATGGGTACTTTTTACTGAAGTACATTTCAAAGCCTCTTTACTTTCACTTGAGTAAAGAAGTTTAGTCAGTACTTCTACTTTTACCAGAGTATTTTTAAACACGAGTATCTGTACTTCTACTTGAGTAAAGGATGTGTGTACTTTTGCCATATCATCTACTACTTCCAGACTACACCATCTTTTCGTCCCTGTCCTTACCCGGGGCGGCACCTCCTCTGAAGGGGCCGTTTCATTGGGCCTATGCTGGGGTTTGGGTTGTGGGTCAGTGCGTGCAGGCGTTGAAGATGATGATGGTGATGAAGATGGAGGGTGATGGTGGGGTTCCTGCTTGTTGTTGTTGTTGCGGAGGTGAAGGTTTTCAAAGCTAGAGGGGAGCAGCTCGCTGAAGGAGTGCGGCCGCGACACGAGAGGCGGGGCGGACGCGATGGAGTTTGACGAGTTCACGCTGCCGCTGCTCTTTAAAGCAGCCAGGTGGGAGCGGACCTTACGGACAACAAAAACACAGCGGGGGAGGAAGGGTCAGTCTGCATGCAGTGCATAAAAGAGAGGGGCTTCTGGGTATCTTTAGGGGTTTGTCAGATTTGAGCCATACAGGAGCCTAACACTGTTCCCTGAGGAACGCCTACTGTAAGTGAAAGCTTCGGGAAGTCCGCAGAATAGTGTTCGAGTGAAATTTTTAAAGCAAACACAGTTTTTTTTGTCCTATAAATCAGGTATCAACCTACTGAATTCAAAATAAAATATGTACAATAAAGAAGAATTAAAGGAAATTCAGGTAGTTTGTCTACCTATGCTATATTGTTTTTGTATCTTTGAAAATGTATTGTAATGTTTTAATCCTGCGAGTAATCCCCTTTTTGAAATGTAACGGTAATCTGATGACACTTTTTTTGATGTAACTGTTAGTGAATACAGTGACTTTTTTTGTTGTATCTTGTAACATGTAATCTGTTATTCCCCAAGCGTGGCAATAAATGTGTTTAAATGGTTCCTGACTCGTTATTAAGCAGAAGAGCAATGAGGACCAGAATTGTAAATCACTGCATTAGAGCTGTGATGGATTTGTTTTTTATTCCAACCTTATGTCTGAGTCTCTTTTTCATTAAAGTCACAACAGCAGCCTCACTGACCTGTAACATTTCAATCCTCCATCACCTTCAACACTGAACAAGTCGGAATTGAATGCCGTCAGATTAATTTAAAAGCTGCAGCAGCACTTCGAAAGAGATTAAATGCTCATCTTCTTCTTCAGAGCTGTGTAATAAATCTATCACTTAACTATAATCTCTAAATGTTCAAACATGCCAACATCAGGGCTTATTAATTACAAATACCCAGCAACACACTTAAAGTAGGGCATGAGAGGTATAAGACCCGACGTTATGTCTTGTTGCTTAATGCTTACTGACAGTTGAAAGGTATACATTCACTCTTATTCATAATTTAGTTTTTGATTTACTTGTAAGAGAATCATGTATGTATGTTTGTATGGTACTACATACGTTGGTTTCTTCTTTTTAAGGTCACATTGTTCTATTTTCTTATAATACACTTGAGTAAAAAACATCTCATAGATATTTCTTTATTTTCTTGTCTGTGTATTTGCATTGCATTTGATGTTGAGGTAATCCAAAAGTAACAGAAAGTAATCAGGTTACATTACTTATTTTTTCACATGTTACTAGTAGGGTTGCAAAGGGGCGAAACATTTGGGGCGGAACATTTCCATGGGAAGTTAAGCTGGGGAATTTTGGAAATATTCCATATTGGAAACTTTCCATGGGAATTAATGGGAACTAACTGGGATTTGAGGGTAATGTAATCGAAATGTATCATTTTATTTTTGAAATGAGCCGTTGCGACTTCCGACTGATTTCGATAGAGCGGGTAACATATGAGCACAGCCCTCTGTGGATGTCAGCATGAGCAAGAGAAAGGTATCTGTGGAAAATCGTGTTTTCCAAGTAAAGTCGGAGAAAGAATATATTTTCACTAAATTCAGGGGTATTTATGTATAATATTTAGTATGTT